CTTTACGGGGACTTTACGGGGACTCTTCTCTATGGAGACTTTTTCTCTCTCTATGCAGACTTTTCCTCTTTACGGGGACTTTACAGGGACGTTACGGGGACTTTACGGGAACTCTTCTCTATGGAGACTTTTTCTCTCTCTATGGAGACTTTTCCTCTTTACGGGGACTTTACGGGGACTTTACGGGGACTCTTCTCTATGGAGACTTTTTCTCTCTCTCTATGGAGACTTTTCCTCTTTACGGGGACTTTACGGGGAATTTACAAGAGGACAGGAGAGAAGAGGAGAGAGGAGAGGATTTTGGATTCAAACCTTTCCTGACAAAAAAGCTCGGACAGGAACAAAAAGGAGAGGAAGCTATACGGGAGGTATACATGGACTCCAGAAGTTTGGTTGTCATATGTAAATCAGCTAGTAATGGTTAATGGTTAGGGTTAGTACACCTAGTAATGGTAAAAAAAACAATATTTGAGGGTTAGATTCCCCATGGGGTTAGAAAAGCATGCGTGTAATGGTAATGAATTCCCCATAAAGGGGTTAGAAAGGCAACTTAATATAAGGGTTAGGCGTGGTCGTGTTTTACACACAGACGCTTTTACACACAGACGCTTTTACATACAGAAACTTTTACGCACAGAAGCTTTTACACACAAACACTTTTCACACACAGAGACCTGACCCGTGAAATCGCAATTTTACTTCAGTTTTTGACGTTCAACGTCCATTTCGTGGGAAAGGGTCGCGATGGACAAAGTAAAATCGCAATTTTCCCTCAGTTTTTGACGTCCAACGTCCATTTCGTGCGAAAGGGTTGCCCGTGACACCTCAAAATCGCAATTTTTCCTCAGTTTTTGACGTCCAACGTCCATTTCGTGCGAAAGGGTTGCAAGTGACACATCAAAATCGCAATTTTCCCTCAGTTTTTGACGTTCAACGTCCATTCGTGCGAAAGGGTTGCATTTGACTAACTAACATCGCAATTTTTCTTGTTTTTGACGTCCAACGTCCCTTTCGTGCGAAAGGGTTGCGAGGGGACAAGTTAAATCGCAATTTTACTTCAGTTTTTGACGTCCAACGTCCATTTCGTGCGAAAGGGTTGCATTTGACTAACTAACATCGCAATTTTTCCTCAGTTTTTGACGTCCAACGTCCATTTCGTGTGAAAGGGTTGCGATGGACTAAGTCAAATCGCAATTTTTCTTCAGTTTTGGACGTCCAACGTCCATTTCGTGCGAAAGGGTTGCGTTTCGTGGCGCTCCGGCGGCACCGCCCCCTCCTTAAGAGAGAGATAGAAAGAAGAGCGAGAGGAGATGTGCAGATGTGAAGGTGTGAAGATGTAGATCTGCAGATGTGAGGGTGTGAAGATGTAGATCTACAGGTGTGAGGGTGTGAAGATGTAGATCAGCAGATGTGAGGGTGTGAAGATCTAGATCTGCAGATGTGAGGGTGTGAAGATGTAGATCAGCAGGTGTGAAGGTGTGAAGATGTAGATCTGCAGATGTGAGGGTGTGAAGATGTAGATCTGCAGGTGTGAGGGTGTGAAGATGTAGACCAGCAGATGTGAGGGTGTGAAGATGTAGGTCAGCAGATGTGAGGGTGTGAAGATGTAGATCAGCAGATGTGAAGGTGTGAAGATGTAGATCAGCAGATGTGAGGGTGTGAAGATGTAGATCAGCAGATGTGAGGGTGTGAAGATGTAGATCAGCAAATGTGAGGGTGCAGATGTGAGGGTGTGAAGATGTATTACAACGGCTGCTTTTTTACGAAGAACCCTTCGCAGGCGCTCTCGGGAAAAAACAGCCTGATGGAGATCTTCAAAAGGCGTTCAAGCCAATCCATGTTAAGTTGGGGTTCCAAAGATGGTTTGTTTCGCGTTGCCAATTCTTGAAGCTGATGAGGCTGTACCTGACTGTGTTGCGTGTTTACTTTTTGATTCCAGAGGGAGACGCTACTGCCCAATGATAGCGTGAGTCTTCGGTGGACATTTTGCTCAATGATTACACTGTTGCTCCCTCCCGGACATTTTGACAAACCGCATTAGGGAGGGAAAGAGCGAGAGGCGTCAACAAAGCTATCGCAGTTCTGTCATCCATGAATGGTCCACCATTTCCATGTCACATGTTCCAGAGTAAAGCATGCAGACACTGATTCAGGACCAGCAAAAACGAGCCCAGCGAGAGAAGGAGGCCGTCCTGAGCATACGATCTTGCTGAGGTTTAAGTTTCGGAAATTGGTTCTTCCTTCAATCTTGGTTGGACGCAGCACAGGTTTGATAGAACATCATGCGGTCAATTAGGCTTACTTACTTTTCTACGTCCGCGAGACCGCGGAGGCAAGCCAGGAGTTTCGGTGTGTCACTTTTTTCTTGATGAGTCCGCAGATTAATTTGGACGAGTCTGCAGATCCATTCACGGCATGGGCGGAGCACATATTCAGTTGTATTCGTCGCTTGCACGGAGACCAGGTTCTTTGAGTTTCCTTGTAGGTGCGAGAAGTTGTTGATCTGTCCAGTCCGACGGAACGTGGTGATGAGGCCTCTTCTCTTGCAGATTGCATTTGCGTTCAACAAGGTGTATTGTCCCCTTTATCCGTGACTGCATGTTACATGTTTCCAGATTTGGGGGAGAGAGTATCGAATGTGTGTGGTAAGTTTCTGTACACTGTGCAGAAGAAATGTAGGTTCCAGCTGCTCAGCCAGATGCAAAATCACCGGAGGAACTTGCCGCTCGGTGTTGCATTCAGCCTGATGTGCTATACTTTGTTTATTTCTACACCATGATTTTATTTCTACACTATGGTTTGCTGCATCCAACCAGGGCGTTTGCTGTATGATACTGTGATGGTTTTTATGAGATAGAAGTGCGTTCTCGGCCTGAATATCTCAAGCGACGGGGCTGGAACGGCTGGAATCTCAGTATCTCAAGCTAGAATCTGAGTATCTCAAGCTACGGAGCTGGAATAGGTGGAATCTGAGTATCTCAAGCTACGGAGCTGGAATAGGTGGAATCTGAGTATCTCAAGCTACGGGGCTGGAACGGCTGGATTTTGAGTATCTCAAGCTACGAGGCTGGAACGGGTAGATTTTGAGTATCTCAAGCTAGAATTACGGTGAGTATCTCAAGCTACGGGGCTGGAACGGCTGGAATCTGAGTACCTCAAGCTAGAAGCTTAGTATCTCAAGCTACGGGGCTGGAACAACTGGAATCTCAGTATCTCAAGCTACGGGCTGGAATGTCAGTATCTCAAGCTACGGGGCTGGAAGTTTAGTATCTCAAGCTACAGGGCTGGAATCTCAGTTTCTCGAGTATCGCAAGGTATCTCAAGCTTTTAGATTCAATTTTGATCCACCTAAATGGCAGTTATGCGCTTGGAGTGACCCAGTTTATGCGCGCTTAGTGACTCTAGTTTTTCCGCTATTAGTGACCTTATTTTACGCGCGCTTAATCCACAGTCTCAATTTTTGGTCCTTAATGTACAGTACGGTCATTTTATATAAAACATTCGTTATACATTTTATAGAGAAAATATGTTTAGGTATGCATTCTATAGCAGTTATTTCAAATTCTCTATAAATCGTCGGCCAAAACATCCTAGGTATGGCATACCAGGGGTTCCAGATATACATATCCAGCTCCACATGCATATACGTCTACATCTACATATATATATATATACACACATACATACATACACACATTATACATACGCAATATTTACAATGCCCCAATACAAATGGAGACATGGGGAAAATGGGTTCCAGTTCGGGGTGGACATTACCATTTCTTCAGGTGGTGTGTCTATGAGATCGGATGCTTCCTGAGCCGCGAGCGGGCGCCAGTTGAGATTCTGCCTGTGAAGACCAGCATGCTGCTGGTGTTGGTGGGCGTCTTGTGGTCCCATGGCGCAATGGAAGTGTTTTGAGGGAATCGTTTTTGTGTGTGTGTGTGTGTGTGGGAACCAGTTTTGATATGTCGCAACGATCATGGGAAGGTGAACATCTGGATGTAGACGTTTGTGTTCATGTGGAATATTGGAGATGTTCACCAGGTACAAAGCCCTTGGCGCATGCCGGGACCAGCATGGGCCAAGACCGACCGCCGATGAACCAACAATTCTTCTTAATTAAAACACTCCTGTCTCGACCGTGATTAAGATGTATTTTTTCCATAGATTTGATCCTGGTCCGAGCTGGTTTTGCAACCAGGACCCCACAACTGGGAGGAGGGCATCAGAAAGGTATCACTTCAACAGGAAGTCACGGTTTCACCACAAGACATCATGTATCTTAAAAATCAGTCAACGGGTGGTCGGAAGAAAGGCGACAACAAAAACTGAAACCGTTGCAGAATCCCAGCGGCCTCCACCGCAAGGGACAAACAGTGGCCATCCATGGCTGACCTTGTGAACAACGGTTTGGACAAACAAAGTGTTGACGCATGATGTGTCGCCACATGCAGTCGGCAAACTTTTTACACTAGGTACTTGAAATTTATTCACGGAAAGTTTTTTGAGGTTCAAATAGAAGTTAAGGACACACCCACAAGATAGGGCATTTTATTGAGGGGCTTCAAACAACGTTTTTTATTCAGGCGTGGGCATGTTTCTGGAGTGCCCCCTTTGTGAGTTTGTTTGGCAGGCAGTTTTGAAACCAGAGGTAGTAAAGAACATTCAACTTCAGTACTGGACCTGTTTTAGACATGTTTCAGACAACCACCTCAAAAACTGAAACAAGCTAAGGATAAGAGAGGATGGAAACAGTGAATGATTGATTTAATATTGGCAAAGAAACGTTCCCAAAAAGGTTGGTGTACTTTATTTGAGATATTTGAGGCGGTTTATTAATCTGTTTGGGAAGTTGACACGCTTTGTTTATGACCCGCGTACATATTTGTCACATTGAACATTACCCGGTGGTCGTGCCCAGCCAGCACCAGCACCAGCACAACCACCACAGCAACAACAATGATTATGACAACAAAGATGACGACGGCAGCAATAGAACAACACCGACAGAAATAGAACAACAATCTGCATCAGAATCTATTCGCAATATCGATAGCCAAAAGGAAAGAACAATTAACCACGAGAGGAGAACAACAACGAGAACAGCAAAAACAAAACAATCAGACACTTCCCCCTAGTGATTACCTTTATGGGGCAGCGGCACGCATCGACCTCATCAGCACCTGTACCACTCCAAAATACTTGCACCAGAATCAAGATTGAGGCCAAACCCATTTAATACCAACAACACCTCGAAAAACATTGCAGAATCAGCATTCAGAGCAGACCCAAGCGCAAGTAAAGCAGTAGCAGTTCCCTTTTCCAAGTTTCCTGTTCCAGATGTTGCTGTCTCTGCCACAATGGACATGATAGGCTTTGCGCTCGCATTTCACGCAACGGCTTTAAAATGCCCGAATACACATTTTCACTGAGAAGTGAACATTTCGCAGAAACGTGCACGTTTCAAATGTCACGAGTTTCGAACACTTTCGAAATAACAGGGTTCATGTTTGGACTTGACATTGAACACAAACGCATTGCCCGAAGTTCGGAAAAGGGATTTGCGGAAACATTCAGTATTTAGTTTTACCAGTACGTAGGCAACATCCACTTTTACTGTACCCGTGTAACATTCCCTTTATTTGTGCAGCATCAACTTTTGCTCAGCGCATCCTTCTTTGGCATGTGTAAAAGAGTGGCTTCGCGCGAGCCCAACATGTTCCACCTGCCGTAGAATATCCCCAAGTTTGAGAAGTTCCCCGGAAGATTCGAAGAAACACAGTCGTTCAACCAAATCCCTGCTTTAAAGTGGCGGTTCAGGTTCAAGGGAAAGTATTGGACGCCAAAATCAATAGCAGAATGGTATCTCATGGTTATTTCGAAGCGGTCAAAGTTCGTGGAAATCCCTAGATATTCATGACAGTGGGTAAAGGTGCCACTCGCCGCAGCTTTCAGGTGACAATATTTTCATTTGTTTACCCTTTTTCGGTTTTTCCCGTGATACTGGCAAGTGAATTGCTTACAGCTGTAACGACCAGCGTTTGTTCTTGTTATAACAAGATTTTCCATTTCTCAAGGATATTCTCTATGCTGCACTTATTTCTTTTGATTGGTGACCCGTGAATTGTGACGTGGCAACCGTTTGTTTATAAAGGGCGCGAAAACAAGAACTTGTTCTGAGTTTGCTTTCGTTTGTTTGCTATCTAGTTGCTGTCGCCGAACAGGTGTTAAGTTTCAGATTTCATGAAAGTTTATTTACCCCAAGGTTTTGAAGCCTTCTGCGCACTAGGCATATGTTGATGTTTTCCTACTGCTTGATCCTCAACTCCCTGCTGAGCGTGGATGCAGCCGAAAGGCAAAGTCCTTTAAGGTTCATTTTAATTTCGGCGGCAGTAAGTGGTGTTGCAATCATCCTCCTTCCGATTGTGAACTACCTGGGGATGAGCTTGTTGGACGACATGGAGCAATTGCCTGCGCAAGTCGAAACGTTTCGAATAGAACAGTCTGAATGCTTCTGCTGCAGCAACAATCACAAACATCCACAAACTGGCAAGACAATAATGTGTGACAGAGAACTGGTGTATCACTCCCTAGCAATCATGTACTCGTACCTTGACCAAGCAGGAGAACTTGAGAAGTTCAACAGACTGGTTCGGGAGACTTTTGCGCCAAAGGTTTTTTGGCGATTTGGGTTACTCGGGACACACCTTCCCCTGCGGTACGTGGCGCGTATCGTCATGGCCAGCAATTTACCCTTTTTGTCGGACCTCTTTTGGCGAATCAGCCAGGGACCAGAAACCCAAATACGCGACATAGAGTATGTGGTGTGGTGTACGCGCTTGATATTACATTGGCTGCAGCCTTTGTTGGCCATGTTTTTTTCTGTGGAGCTTTCAGCACGAATGTGGAAGATGACGAAGAACTTGAAACTTCGGCGGATTTTCCTGTCAATCCTGCTTAGTCCAATACAGGGCTTGGGAGCGGGATGTATCTTTGCCAGCATGGAGCTGGCAGTACGATGGTCTGCAGACACCAGTTGGGCGCCCTTGGTGCCCTTCTTGCTTGGCCTCCTACTGAACTTCCTTTTACACCTCTTCTGAAACACATCTGTAGCTTTTGATGACGAATCATGCCTCGCCCTTGCAACATGTTCCCCAACAGGGCATTGGCACGGCAGATTCGTATCCTTTCCCTTGCACAGGGGCATGATTGCGAAAATTCTTCAGTGGTTTCACCATGTTTCACCAATGGCATATAATTTGGTGTTGTAGTTCAATTCGCGGCACGAAACTTGCTCAGTTTCACAGTGACACATCATCTTGTCTTGCGCCAACAAACTGCATGACTCTGCAGGCTCTGGTGCACGATATCGGCTTCAGATCTGATGTCGGTGGCTTTAGCAATGGTTTGGTCCATTCATAACAGAGATCATTAGACCATTACTAGAGACATATATTCCACCAAGCGCGGTGCTATTCATAGTTTGGATGTGACACCAAGTAGGGCAACAAACAGCCGCCCCCATGAGCCCAGTGAACCCAGCCCGTGAACCCAGTGAACCACGGCTGGAAATCAACAAAACATAAACCGATATTAAATTATTTGATGACCATGGTGATGCCTGACTGCAATTCTGGGGATGGTTTTCCCAAGCTGCACAATAACCGAGCCACGCTACACATCCATTTTTTCAACAGAGACACGATATTAATGGTTGTGAGAGCATGGAAGATGGAAGGCACTGATCCGTTTTACTTCTCCTGTGAGGTCAGCGCTGCTGTTTACGATTTCGACATGCAAAGGAGGCATTTGTGGAGAAACTCCACACCTATGGCACAATACTATATTTCCCCACCTGTCAGGTGAGGACCTCTAGATTTTATCAGATTTACTTCCTCCTTCCTTCCTCTTCCTTCCTTTTCCTTCCTCTTCCTTCCTCTTCCTTCCTTTTCCTTCCTTTTCCTTCCGCTTCCTTCCGCTTCCTTCTACTTCCCTCCGCTTCCTTCCGCTCTTCCTTTCCTTTGCGCAAACTCGTGGAATATATTTTGATCCGGGCCATAATATTTTTTTAATAAATTTCCGTATAAAATAATTTATATAAAATAATAATTTATATTTCGATTATTTAGATTTGTATAAAAAATTATACCGTGATTTTGGAACATAATATTTTTCTTATAATTAATAATAATAATAATTTTTATTTATAATAAAAAAAATAATAAATATAAATTCATATTTTAATTATGAAGGTTTATATAAATTATAAATTTAAATTTTGGGTTTGGGTATTATTTTTTAAAAATATATAAAAAAAATAAAATATTATAATATAATATATTTATAATTTAATATTTAAAATTTAATTTATATTTTAAAATTATATATATTTTATTATTACATAAAACGGGACACTTGCCGAAAAAGTGAGCGCCCCTGTCGGAAACCCGACAATTGTAGCCGGAATTGATCCAATACATCGTACAATTATGCCAAAAATCCCAAATTTTCCGGAAATTTCGGACGAAACCCCGAATTTTCCCGGAAATTTGACGATTTAGGAATTCTTAAAGTGGCAAATTTTCCGGAAAATTGGTGCTTCGGGATTTTGCCTGAACCGCGAAATTTTCCCGAAAATTGGTGCTTCGGGACGTCGACTCAACCGCGACCTTTGGCAGAATCATCTCAGCATGTGCACAGATTGGCGACATGTACACTGCAGCTGTTGAAGACAAGCCTCCGATGGATTGCGATAGACAAAAAATCAAAGTGGATAATTTGAGGGTACCCGGATTTTAGGACACAAGGAATTTGATTTTCTGGTTATTCTCGACTGAACCCAAATTTTATAATTAATAATCATTATTTTGCGGCATTAAATATACTTTCCGTAGCTCATCCAGTGTGATCGCGCCTTTGGTCGCTTTGTTAGCGGTGGCCTTAATTACACGGCGGGGATTTGGTCAAATTCCCATAGATTGGATAATATTGGATCTATTTGGAAATATGATGACATTTGATGTATTTATTATACATAAGATATCTTTATATCTATATAAATATAAGTGCATCGTATTCATACATTGTGCTTCCTGCACGGCCTCACGGCACCGATCTCGATTGCGTAGGTAAACCCTAAAAATCAATTTGCTGGGTATTATTTTAGAAGAAACAACGTGCTGAATCTGATAAAAATAAGTGGTGTAGACCTCACCTGCTCTACCCTGATTCCGACGCCTAGGCGGAAACGAGTGGTGCTTTTTTCTCAGTAGTGGCCTCAATCATACGCCGGGATGGATTAGACAGAAAATGGAAGTATAATGAAAATAGTATCAAAATGGATGCTTTAGAGGTATCTGGATTTTAGGAAACCAACAATTTTGCCTTCCTGGCCATTTTCGGGTAGTTATGTTGCGGCATTAGATGCACTTTCCATTGGTCATCCAGTGTGATTAGATTGCGCCTTTAGTCGGTTTGTGATCATCTTAGTGTGTACAAAGATTTGTGATGTGTTGTATTTCACCGTGTGCAAGTATTTGAGTTTCTTGTAAGCCTCCGATGGATTGTAATAAACAGAGTATCGGATATCTCTGTGCATTACGCATAAGTCTTGAGTGCTGTGGTTTTTCTAATCTCGACACAGGTTCCTTTCCTCTTGCCGTAGCTTATCCAGTGTGATTGCGCTTTTGGTCGTTTGAAGTGATTATCTCAACGTGTGTAAAGATTTGAGAAGTTTCGTGGAAGTTTCCGATGGATTGTGATACATAAACAATTAAATTATCTGGGATCGTAGTCCTATTTTCCTATTTTTTTGGGAAAATTGGACCTTTTTTTCCAATTTTTTGACAAAAATTGTTGTTTTGACACAGGACTTTTGCGGCTGTTTTTGGCATACGGCTGATACGCCGCCGTTGGAAAGGTTGTCGATTTTGAGATGTGCCTTTTACGGTGTGTTATATTGTGTTGTGGTTTTTCTAATCGGTACAGGTTCTTCTTGCCATAACTCATCCAGTGTGATCGCGCTTTTGGTTATTTGAAGTGATTATTTTAGCGTATGTAAAGATTTGAAAAAATTTCGTAGACCCCTCCGATAAGTTTCGTAGAAGCCTCCGATGGATTGCGATACATAAAAAATCAAATTATCTGGGATAATTGTCCTATTTTCCAATTTTTTTGGGAAAATTGGACTTTTTTTGCCACTTTTTTGGAAATAATCGTGGTTTTGGCTGGTTGTTTTTGCTCTTTTATGGGTATAATTATTTCAGGAGAAATATACCGCTGAATCTGATGAAGACAAGTGGTGCAGACCTCACCTGCTTTACCCTGATCCCAATGCCCAGGCAGAGACAAGGGGTGCTTTTCTGTCAGCAGTGGCCTCAATTACACGGCGGCATGGATTAGACAGAATTGGAAAGTACGTATTTATAGCCGGAATTGATGTAATATTTTATATAATTATATTATAAGCAGGTAAATTGGCCGGAATTTTTGGCCAAAGCCTTTACTTTTTACGGAAATACGGGACACCTGCCGAAAAAGTGGGCGCCCCTGTCGAAAACCCAACAATTGTAGCCGGAATTGATCCAATACATCGTACAATTATGCCAAAAGTCCCAAATTTTCCGGAAATTTCGGACGAAACCCCGAATTTTCCCGGAAATTTGGCGATTTAGGAATTCCTAAAGTGGTAAATTTTCCGGAAAATTGGTGCTTCGGGATTTTGCCTGAACCGCGAAATTTTCCCGAAAATTGGTGCTTCGGGACGTCGACTCAACCGCGACCTTTGGCAGAATCATCTCAGCATGTGCACAGATTGGCGACATGTACACTGCAGCTGTTGAAAACAAGCCTCCGATGGATTGCGATAGACAAAAAATCAAAGTGGATAATTTGAGGGTACCCGGATTTTAGGACACAAGGAATTTGATTTTCTGGTCATTCTCGACTGAACCCAAATTTTATAATCGATAATCATTATTTTGGGGCATTAAATATACTTTCCGTAGTTCATCCAGTGTGATCGCGCCTTTGGTCGCTTTGTCAGCAGTGGCCTCAATCACACGGCGGGGATTTGGTCAAATTCCCATAGATTGGATAATATTGGATTTATTTGGAAATATGATGACATTTGATGTATTTATTATACATGAGATATCTTTATATCTATATAAATATGAGTGTATCGTATTCATACATTGTGCTTCCTGCACGGCCTCACGGCACCGATCTCGATTGCGTAGGCAAACCCTAAAAATCAATCTGCTGGGTATCATTTCAGAAGAAACAACGCGCTGAATCTGATGAAAATAAGTGGTGTAGACCTCACCTGCTCTACCCTGATTCCGACGCCTAGGCGGAAACGAGTGGTGCTTTTCTCTCAGCAGTGGCCTCAATCATACGCCGGGATGGATTAGACAGAAAATGGAAGTATAATGAAAATAGTATTAAAATGGATGCTTTAGAGGTATCTGGATTTTAGGAAACCAACAATTTTGCCTTCCTGGCCATTCTCGGGTAGTCATGTTGCGGCATTAGATGCACTTTCCATTGGTCATCCAGTGTGATTAGATCGCGCCTTTAGTCGCTTTGTGATCATCTTAGCGTGTGCAAAGATTTGTGATGTGTTGTATTTCACCGTGTGCAAGTATTTGAGTTTCTTGTAAGCCTCCGATGGATTGCAATAAATAGAGTATCGGATATCTCTGTGCATTACGCATAAGTCTTGAGTGCTGTGGTTTTTCCAATCTCGACACAGGTTCCTTTCCTCTTGCCGTAGCTCATCCAGTGTGATCGCGCTTTTGGTCGTTTGAAGTGATTATCTCAGCGTGTGCAAAGATTTGAGAAGTTTCGTGGAAATTTCCGATGGATTGTGATATACAAACAATTAAATTGTCTGGGATCGTAATCCTATTTCCCCATTTTTTTGGGAAAATTGGACCTTTTTTGCCATTTTTTTGACAAAAATTGTTGTTTTGACACAGGACTTTTGCGGTTGTTCTTGGCATACGGCTGATACGCCGCCGTTGGAAAGGTTGTCGATTTTGAGATGTGCCTTTTACGGTGTGTTATATTGTGTTGTGACTTTTCCAATCTCGGCACAGGTTCCTCTTACCATAGCTCATCCAGTGTGATCGCGCTTTTGGTCATTTGAAGTAATTATCTTAGCGTATGCAAAGATTTGAAAAATTTCGTAGACCCCTCCGATAAGTTTCGTAGAAGCCTCCGATGGATTGCGATACATAAAAAATTAAATTATTTGGGATAATTGTCCTATTTTCCAATTTTTTTGGGAAAATTGGACCTTTTTTGCTACTTTTTTGGAAACAATCGTGGTTTT